ATATATCTCGAAGAGAAGAGAAGTGTGTAGACGTGCCAGCTGTGGAACCGAGCTGGGAACGTTGTGGTATCAAGTCCTGGTCGACGAGCATAATTTAATAAGCTACTCAGAGGCATTTTCGTGGGCTGTGTGGAGCGCCCTGACCAGACGCCGTCAGAGGAAAAGCGCCCTCGATCAGTTGATCTGTGGTAAGCACGATATACGCCAGTTCATAGTGATCACTTGTAGTTGGTCGTGTGCCCAGCGACGGTAGCAATGTTTATTTATAAGTTAGACATGTTTTAATAAGGCAGAAAGCCTGAAATAGGAGAGTGAAGAGGGAGGAGCATGGAGCGACGTCCGCCCCCTCTGAGCGCTGGCGGACGACTGAGGGAGCCTGGCTCCGGATGGAGGAAGACCCTCCCAGCGAGTGAGGACCGCCGCCAGGCGAGGTGGAGTATGGACCCGCCCAAAACGGGGGAGTCCACTCTCACTGTATGTAGAGAACAGATAGAGGTTTGAGGCAAACATATTGTGTGAATATTTTTTGTTTATGTGTTAAAGGGGAACATTTTATTGGAGTGTCGATGGGTTGCAGGTTTGTCTTTGGGGAAGAAGTTGCTGAGCACTTCGAAGCCAGCAGATGAAGTAGCTGATGAGACTCCAAGGTAGTGGAGCAGAGGACCTCGAGCTGTGAGGAGGAGCAGCAGTGAAGAGGAGTGTCACGTGCTTCTGTAGAGGTGGAGAAGCACCACAGTTGCTCGGGGAAACTTCATGGTGTAGCAGCCAAGAGAGCTGTGGAGGAACCTAGCAGAAGGGTGAAGCACCGTAGTTACTCAAGGAAACTTCATGATAGCAGCCTGGAGGAGCTGCAGAGGATCCTGGTAGTGAAGCCCGGAAGAACCTAAGGATATTAGGATTGTGAACTTCCAGAGGTGGAAGGGGAAGTTCTGGTGGATTACTTATAGGGAGTTGATAGTGTTTGGTTGTCATTAGCGTGCAAGACGCAGTGAGAGGTGAGTGACTGTTTGCATTCTTATGTTAAGGAGTGATTTATTCTGAAGCTTAGAGTTGCAGTCGTAGGCTTGATTACCTACAGATGTATGTGCTCGAGGACTGACAGTGGTCGATTAATCATTGTTGTGTATCAATGAACATTTATACTGATATATGTTATTGCATTCAAATGCTGGTTTTCTATATATACATTATCTTGCTGATAGTGCAACAGTGTATGTAGGCTTGACCAACTTGAGGAGGTTAATAGTATCAGGTGGTGAACCAGGAGATAGGATACCACTTGATAAGCTGATAATAGAGTCCTGATGGTGTTGGAGTGCAACCTGATTGTGATATTATAGAGTATAGGATTCATTATTATTATATGTGTGTATGTATCGTGTATGTGCTTTGTTTAGTAAATGTGTCACAATTTGCTGGTGTTTGCCCTTGTCCTAGTGAGGCTTCCCAGGAAGTAGTGAAGAAGGAGAGAGAGAGAGAAAGAATCAAGAACCACTGCTGTGGACAGGGTAAGAGGTAATACTAGTAAGTCATAGGGGATTGAGGAGATCATATCTCATAAGGAGAGAGTGGGGAGTCACAGCGGCTCGAGTGGGTGTGTGCACGTGACAACGAGGCTAAGTGTTGGAGCCGCATCCCCTAAACGTGTGACGCTGAGCCCCTCTCCAAGAGCCAGAAGCGCCAAGGGTGATCTCCTAGTATAAGCACTCTGCCGAGTTGTGGGTTGGGTTGTCCATAGAGAAGGATCGACGACGACAACACCAACCAACCCACGAGTCTATAATATTAGCTAGCCTACATCTCTGATTAAACCATGGGTTTCTCATCTTCATTTCACTGTTTTCCTTTTAGGCTGGGACAAACTTGTTTGCTGCGTTCTTGCATTTTTGCGTGATGTAGTCCATCATATCTTGGGCAGTCTTTTCCCTGAGCTCTGTTTCCCATCCTATATCTCTTAGGAATTTTCTTATTTCCTTATAGTTTCCCTTTCGATATGCTAACCTTTTGGTTTCGGTATCCCTCCTCGAGTTCAATGACCCTTCTTCAATCAGGTACTCAAACACCAATACACTGTGGTCGCTCATTCCTACTGGGGCCTCAAAACCGATTTCTCTTATGTCAGAGTCGTTCAGGGTGAAGACCAGGTCGAGTCTCGCTGGTTCGTCATTTCCTCTCATCCTTGTGGGTTCTCTGACATGCTGGGTTAAGAAGTTTCTAGTCACCACCTCCAGTAGTTTGGCTCTCCACGGATCCTCGCCTCCATGCGGTTCCTAGTTCTCCCAATCAATCCTTCCATGATTGAAGTCCCCCATGATGAGCAGGTGGGATCTATTTCTACAGGCAGCAGAGGCTGCCCTCTCAATTATTCCCTCTGAGGCTGCCCTCTGTGTGTGTACTCACCTAGTTGTACTCATTTAGGTGTGCTTGCGGGGGTTGAACTCTGGATCTTTGGTCCCGCCTCTCAACCGTCAATCAACAGGTGTACAAGTTCCTGAGCCTATTGGGCTCTATCATATCTACACTTGAAACTGTGTATGGAGTCAGCCTCCACCGCAACACTTCCTAATGTATTCCATTTGTCAACCACTCTGACACTAAAAAAGTTCTTTCTAATATCTCTGTGGCTCATTTGGGCACTCAGTTTCCACCTGTGCCCCCTAGTGCGTGTGCCCCTTGTGTTAAACAGCCTGTCTTTATCAACCCTGTCGATTCCCTTGAGAATCTTGAATGTGGTGATCATGTCCCCCCTAACTCTTCTGTCTTCCAACGATGTGAGGTTTAATTACCGTAGTCTCTCCTTATAGCTCATACCTCTCAGCTCGGGTACTAGTCTGGTGGCAAACCTTTGAACCTTTTCCAGTTTAGTCTTATGCTTGAATAGATATGGACTCCATGCTGGAGCCGCATACTCCAGGATTGGTCTGACATATGTGGTATATAATGTTCTGAAAGATTCCTTACATAAGTTTCTAAAGGCCGTTCTTATGTTAGCCAACCTGGCATATGCTGCTGATGTTATCATCTTGATATGAGCTTCAGGGGTCAGGTCTGGCGTGATATCAACCCCCAGGTCTTTCTCTCTCTCTGACTCTTGAAGTATTTCATCTCCCAAGTGATACCTTGTATCTGGTCTCCTGTTTCCTATCCCTATCTTCATTACATTACATTTGCTTGGGTTAAACTCTAACAGTCATTTGTACGACCATTCCTGCAGCTTGTCCAGGTCTTCTTGAAGCCTCAAGCTGTCCTCCTCTGTCTTAATCCTTCTCATAATTTTGGCGTCGTCAGCAAACATTGAGTGGAATGAGTCTATACCCTCTGCGAGTTCATTTACGTATATCAGAAACACGATAGGTCCAAGTACAGAGCCCTGTGGGACTCCACTGGTGATTTCACGCCAGTCTGAGGTCTCACCCCTCACTGTAACTCTCTGCTTCCTATTGCTTAGGTACTCCCTTATCCACTGGAGCGCCCTACCAGTTACTCCTGCCTGTTTCTCCAGCTTATGCATCAACCTTTTACGGGGTACTGTGTCAAAGGCTTTCCGATAGTCCAAAAAAATGCAGTCCGCCCACCCTTCTCTTTCTTGCTTAATCTTTGTCACCTGATCGTAGAATTCTATCAAGCCTGTAAGGCAAGATTTACCCTCCCTGAACCCATGTTGATGGGTTGTCACGAAGTCTCTTCTCTCCAGATGTGTTACTAGGTTTTTTCTCAAGATCTTCTCCATCACATTGAATGGTATACAAGTTAAGGACACTGGCCTGTAGTTCAGTGCCTCTTGTCTGTCACCCTTTTTGTATATTGGTACTACATTAGCAGTCTTCCATATTTCTGGTTGGTCCCCCGTTTCCAGTGACCTACTATACACTATGGAGAGTGGTAAGCAAAGTGCTCCTGCACTCTCTTTCAATACCCATGGCGAGATTCCATCCGGCCCAACAGCTTTTCTCATATCCAGCTCCAATAGGTGCTTCTTGACCTCATCTCTTGTAATTTCGAGCCTATCCAAGGTCACCTGGTTTGCTGCCACTTCTTCTAGCGCCGTGACATCTCCGTGGTCTATTGTAAAGACCTCCTGGAATCTTTTGTTGAGTTCTTCACACACCTCTTTGTCATTCTCTGTGTACCTGTCCTCGCCCACCCTAAGTTTCATCACCTGTTCCTTCACTGTTGCCTTCCTCCTGATGAGACTGTGTAGTAGCTTTGGTTCGGTCTTGGCTTTATTATCTATATCATTTTCATACCTTTTCTCAGCTGCTCTTCTCACACTGACATACTCGTTCCTGATTCTCTGGTATCTCTCTCTACTTTCTATTGTTCTGTTATTACGGACGTTCCTCCATGCCCTTTTGCTCAGCTCCTTTGCTTTCATACATTCCCTATTAAACCACGGATTCTTCCTTTGCTTCTCTGTTTTTTCCTGTCGGGCTGGGGCAAACCTGCTTACAGCCTCCTGACCTTTTTGGGTGACAGTCCATCATGTCTTGTACGGACTTGGTTCCGAGTTCTGTGTCCCAATGTGTCCCATAAGAATTTATTCATTTCCTCATAATTTCCCTTTCGGTACGCCAGCCCTTTGGTTCCCAGTTCTTTTTTGGGGGTGATAATTCCCAGCTCAACCAGGTACTCAAAGCTCAATACACTATGATCACTCCTTCCCAATGGGGCTTCCAACTTAACTTCTCTTATATCCGACTCATTTAGGGTAAATATCAGATCAAGCAAGGCTGGTTCATCCCCTCCTCTCATTATTGTCGGTCCCTTGACATGTTGACTTAGAAAGTTTCTTGTTGCCACATCCAGCAGCTTAGCTCTCCATGTGTCTGGGCCATGTGTGTGTGTGTGTGTGTGTGTGTGTGTGTGTGTGTGTGTGTGTGTGTGTGTGTGTGTGTGTGTGTGTGTGTGTGTGTGTGTGTGTGTGTGTGCGTGCGTGCCTGCTTGTGACCATGCCGGGCGAGCGTATAAATAAAGCAACAACGGGTGTCTGCCTCACTCCCCCAAAGATCACCGAGAGGTCACCATGGCAACACTCTCAGCCATCCTGCTGTCGGCGCTGGTGGTGGTGACGGCTGCCCAACAGATTCAGACACTTCAAGATCTATCCAACACGCTGCTCCTCAACCAGCTGGCAATGTCCAACATGCTGGCTGAACGCGACTCCGGAACCAGAGGTAAGGAGAACACTGAAGCAGGTTCACAGTCATGTACGAGCTGTTGAAGTTTACTGTGGTAGAAATTGTAATCCAGTTGTATGACAGAGCTGGTGTTGAAGTGTGGTGTGACAGTAAGTGTTGCTGAGATGGATGATAGAACTCGTGTTGGAGTGTGGTGTGACAGTAAGTGTTGCTGAGATGGATGATAGAACTCGTGTTGAAGTGAGGTGTGACAGTAAGTGTAGCTGAGTTGGATGATAAAGCTGGTGTTGAAGTGTGGTGTGACAGTAAGTGTTGCTGAGATGGATGATAGAACTCGTGTTGGAGTGTGGTGTGACAGTAAGTGTAGCTGAGTTGGATGATAGAGCTGGTGTTGGAGTGAAGTTCATTGAATATATATCTTTAAATGAAATTATTCTTTTCTAGTCAGTAACTTGGTCAGTTACTTGCTTACTTAATTACAATTTCCTTCTCAATTGTCGTAATAATTTGTCAACATTATAACCTAAGCTGATCACAAAGTTATCGTTAAGATAACAGACACCGAAGGTTTATTAGGTAACATACATTTCAGGTTTAGGAGATAACATACATTGAAGGTTCAGGAGGTAACAAACAATGTAGATTCAGGCGATTACAGACATTGTAGGTTCAGGAGATCACAGGTATTGCAGATATAGGCGACAACAGAAGGATATAAGACAGAAGTGACCAAGATTACATAACTACTGTTAACTCTATTCATTACCGACCATGTTATTGTATTGTGGTTTTCGTCTTTTATATTTCAGTAATAAGAGAGTGGCTGAACGACCTGCAATCAAATATTACTTCCGGTGAGTCGCTCTTGCGTTTGTATACTTGTTCCTAATATGTTTATGCCAACTACCCACAAGGGGGAATGGTGCAACCTGGCTCATTTCTGGTACACTTTGATAGTGTGTTGTTGTAGAAGCACTCTGAGGAGACAGACATTCCTAAAGGACTGCTTAACTGTGTATTGGCATTACATTTTATATGTATATAGTATACTGACTACGTTCTTTCTCAGTTTAGGGTTCATCCTCTTAACAAAAATTCCTCTTTTGTGAGTAAAGCACCTCGACCCGTTTGAGGATCACTGCTCTATAGGATCACTGAAACTTTTACAGACTGATTTTTTTTAACAAATTCTGGATGAATGGTTTATTGTTATATAAAGTGATTTCAGACAACATTTCTTGACTGATGAATGACAATTTATTTGGTTTTCAAGATCTTAATCGGAAATTAATCACATAATCTGTTTTCCCTTTCCAGAAATAGCGGCTTTGCAGAACGTTGTTAAAGCTAATGGTGTTCCCCTAAATGATGGTAAGGGTAATAGTGTTCCCCAAGATGATGGTGAAGGTTATGGTGATCCCTAATATGAAAGTGAGGGTTATGGTGTTCCCTAATATGATGGTTATCTTCTTGAGGTTATCTTGAGATGATTTCAGGGCTTTAGTGTCGCCGCGGTCCGGTCCTCGACCAGGCCTCCACCTCCAGGATGCAGCCCGTGACAGCTGACTAACACCCAGGTAACTATTTTACTGCTAGGTAACAGGGGCATAGGGCGAAAGAAACTGCCCATTGTTTCTCGCTGGCGCCCGGGATCGAACCCGGTACCACAGGATCACAAGTCCAGCGTGCTGTCCGCTCGGCCGACCGGCTCCCAACACCAACACCATGGTGTTGAACACCATGGTGACTGTTATGGTGTTCTCTAATATAATGGTGAGGGTTATGGTGTTCACTAATATGAGAATTATTTCAATGGTGTTCCAAAATATGATGTTCATGGTAATAGTGTTCCCCAAGATGATGGCGAGGGTAATGGTATTCCCCAAGATGATAGTGATGGTGTTCCCCAAGATGATAGTGATGGTGTTCCCCAAGATGATGGTTATAGTGTTCCCCAAGATGATTGTGAGGGGTAATAGTTTTCCCTTATTAGAGCCAAAGAAGTTATATAACAGCATCACTATCAACAACATTACCCAAAAACGTCACGACGAAGATAAAAACTGCACCAACATTGCAGCCACCAGTGACCGTAGAAGGTTGTACACACTTATTAAAAGGCATCATCCCTATTGATGAGTATATAAATTAATTTGACATTAAATATTCACTTGTTTGATGGGCGTCTTTAATATTAAGAGAAGGCACATGTCGTATTCGAAAACTGTTCCCTTGTTCATCTGACGTTGTAGTTCATAGGTCTTATTAGCTAAAAGCTCACCTCACCCAATCACAAGCTTGATATGACCATCATGGCAAACTACATTCTACTAAAAATCTTAAGTAATGTTTCATTGAATATGAAAGCCTTGACACAAGAGTTGCTTAATATATTCATCTGCATGAGGCTTGTGCTCTGTCGCCCACAGGGGCCGTGGAGTGCATGGTACCGTTTGTGAACGTGTATGGTCACTGTATCTTGGTGGAGACGGCACTGACGGGAACTTGGGAAACAATGAGACGTCACTGTCAGCAGAAGGGCGGCGATATTGTCAAGGTTGACTGTGGCACCTTCATGTATTACCTCGTCAAGTACCTTCACAGTAACGGTGAGTTCTTCATCTCAAGACCTATGTCGTTCCCGAAAACTGCATTTTAACGTAATAATTTCTTTCTGTCTATATTCTTCTGTTCTTCAATATGTCCGCAGGTCTGGCTAAGTTGTCTTACTGGGTCGGTGGGAGAGATGAAGGCCACGAGGGATCTTACTTTTGGACTGATGGTACCCAGGTCAAGATGGGAACACCCTTTTGGGGTGACGGCATTAATGACAACATTCAGGAGCCCGACGGAGGAACCAATCAAAACTGTATAGCAATGTCCAAGGAAGATCATTATTTTTTCTTCGATCTTTCCTGCAGTGAAAGAAATGCAGTTATTTGTGAGAAACTGAAATTGTTTTAGGAACAATACCTGCATTCTGTCCTTGAAGTTTCAGGGGCTTTATGTTCTAGGAGTAGCAGCTGCCTCCTGACTTTGGAGTAACACTTGTGGAGAATTCTGACACATGGGATTTTATTTAATTTAATTATTAATTAATTAATATATTTAAATATTTTTTATTTATGTTGTATAATAAATTAATTTATTATTTTTTTCGATAGCTTAGTGAATTGTATGTTTTATTGAGCGGACTTTATGGATTTAAATTCTCCCACAAGTCATATCCAAACACAAAAGGGGAGGTTAATTAATTATATTAGTCTATCAATCAAGAATTTATCGATTGACAGAAAAAAAAACTATGCGTTAGTCTATTAATCTACTGGTTTTGTACTCAACGCCTTAACTGATTTGAAGGCTTCAGTGTGGGTCCAACTGTTGGGTTGTGAGCAATCAACCATATTAGAGCCTCGTGGTCTATGGCGTCTGTTCCCACGTGAATCAACCGATTGAGGTGCTTGGTTTCCCTGGTGACCACAGAAGATCTGCCGGAATAATACAATATAATAACTGGAAATATACTTCCTATCACAGATATGGCACGTTAATAATGTTTAGTTGAGTAATTGTGAGAGGCTTATCATGTTTTATTGGTTTGCCTGACTCATCTCCGGTTGGCTATTATTATTATATTATAGGATCCTGTAATAAGATGTATTATTTTGACCAAATGAATACGAGGTACTCTGGTTACTTAGAGGTTGCGCCAGCTGAAGAACGTAGGAATGGTTCGGGTTACGAGTACAAACGTAGCTGTTTCTTTGATTATTAAAGGAAGTCGATTTTTTCCCGACAACACTTGCCTCATGACCTTGGAATAATACCTGCTTCCTGACCTTAGAGTAACACCTGCTTTCTGACCCTGGAGTAACACTTGCTTCCTGATCTTCGAGTAACACCTGCCGCCTGATCTTGGAGTAACACCTGCTCCCTGTCCTAGCACTAACACGTGACTTGCGTCCCTCGAGGAGCACCTCCGTGGCCTGACAGGTCATCATTAGGACCGAGTGTGTAACGTGGAGCATTTAGCTAATAACAAATTTAATAATAACGTGATAAAATGATTAGCTCTTTGATTCATATGATAAATTATAATTATATGATTAGTGAGAAAATAATTTGAGGTTCCTACAACATGAACTGCAAATGTTGTACTCCCCCAAGCTGTACTGCACATGAGCACTCCTCCAAATCTGTACTGCACATGAGCACTTCTCCAACTCGAACTGCACATGAGCACTCCCCCAAGCTGTACTGCAAATGCGCACTCCTCCAAGCTGTACTGCAAATGCGCACTCCTCCAAGCTGTACTGCAAATGCGCACTCCTCCATGCTGTACTGCAAATGGGCATTCCTCCAAGCTTTACTGCACATGAGCACTCCTCCAAGCTGTACTGCACATGAGCACTCCTCCAAGCTGTACTGCACGTGAGCACTCCTCCAAGCTGTACTGCACATGAGCACTCCTCCAAGCTGTACTGCACATGAGCACTCCTCCAAGCTGTACTGCACATGAGCACTCCTCCAAGCTGTACTGCACATGAGCACTTCTCCAAGCTGTACTGCACATGAGCACTCCTCCAAGCTGTACTGCACATGAGCACTCCTCCAAGCTGTACTGCACATGAGCACTCCTCCAAGCTGTACTGCACATGAGCACTCCTCCAAGCTGTACTGCACATGAGCACTCCTCCAAGCTATATAATTAAATTATCATTAAATAATAATAATAATAATAATAATAATAATAAAACATAAACCAATTTTCCTTAACCTAACCCATAACTAGGGGCTTTATCTCCCCCCCCCCTTTCCTTGAAAATTTGGGTAAATTATGGATAATTAGGGTGAGAATATATTTTCACATTGTCCAAATTTATCCTAATTTAACCCTAATTTATCCTTAATTAACCCTAATTTATCCTTAATTAACCCTAATTTATGTAATATTATCTTAATTTATGTCATTATTTTAATTTATGTCATATTAGACCCTTATTTATGTCATACTAGCTGTACCCGCCATGTGTTGCTGTGGCTCAGTCTGGTTAAATGGAAAAGAAAGAAAAGAGAAAGCGCACGTTTCTAATATGTTTAATTTCACAATGATTGTGGGTATACAATATTTTTGTTGTTCCAATGTCTGTGAAGATATAGAGATTGTCTAGTTTGCCGACTCTAGAACACATAGCATATAATTGTCCATGTGGAAAGCAATCCATGTCTAGATATAAACTGACCAATTCCGAAAGATTGGGCCCGAGCTTTGTTGATGGTGATTGCAAACGCCAATCGAATTGGAAATTACAATATCTTAAATTGAAATGGCATATCTGTTGGAATCATAGGAATGTGAGGAATGAGGACATCATCACCAATGGATGGTCCTGTCAAGATTGTTGCTTCTACGACGTTGCTGATTAATTTTTTTACTGCAAGTCGCGTGGCGTTGCAAAGCTTTAGCTGATTGATATTTCGCAAGATGATAATTGACACGCCGATTTTCAACTGCCGTACGTGTGATGGTATCCTTGGCAGATCAAGTGAATTCAAAAATTCTGTTGGATAACTAACCGCTTCATCTGCTTCCTCAACAGTGTCGACGGACTTGTATCGAGGAATTACAGGTAATGTTTGCCTGACTTCTCCTGCAAGCAATATTAATGCGTTCTCAAATGATCTGATGTTTCCAAGCAAATCTTGCAATGATCGATCAAGAACCTCGAGCGATTTTTTGTGGGCCATTGTGCATTCATCTCAAACAATAAGTTTACATTTCTGCAATACTTTTACCATGCCGGATGCTTTGGAAATGTTGCACGTGGGAGTTTCAATGAATTGCATGTTCAATGGCAATTTCAAAGCCGAAGTAGCTGTTCTTCCTCCTGGTATCAATGTCGCAGCTATTCCTGACGATTCAAGAGCTAAGGTTATGCCATTTTGGAATCGAAATGCTGCCAGAATCAATCTAATTAGGAAGGATTTACAGTTCCTCCTGGCGCATCTAAGAAGCTTTCTCCAAACCCGTTATTGACAGTTTGAATTATTTGATTGTAAATGCCTTTTCGTTCAAGCGTTAGCTTAGGAATATTTGATTGCCTATATGACAACAGATCACTCGTGTTATAATTTTGTTCACGACGCAATTCTACATCGAACGAAGCAGCAGCAGATCGATTTGGTGATGGTATTTCCAATTGATTTAAAACTTTGTTCGTGATTTCTAAGCACAAATCTTCAATCATTATCAACGCTTCGTTGTAGATTTCTGCTGTGAAATCCATGTTCATATTTGAATTTTCCTTTGTATCCGATGGATAATATCTTCAGCCATGTGCGGTTTATATTTCTCCCATTACTCTGCTGGAGATGAAGGAGAGCCGGTGGTCAATATGATTGCAAACAATGCACGAATTTGATTTGGATGCGACCTGTTGGACGCGTCATTAATGCATACATCCCAGTGTCGGTCGTTCTCCAATAAATTCCGAGCCTGACATGCACTACGGAAAGTGGCATGTGTAACGCCGTCGACAAATCTCAATTGCTGGAAAGATATTGGACCGGGTATCTTCACCGACAGTATACGAAGAAAGAAGCATTCATCTTGATTGGGATGCACGGTGTACAGTCTGCCTATCGTAGTTTATTTGAATAGGCCAGAGTGTCCGTCGACTCGCTCTCCTCGTTTACTTCATTCAAATGATTTTCTACTGGCATTCCATGTGTAATACGCAGGCCTTCCGAATACAGCAGTGTTTTCGCAAATGCGTCATTTTGACATAACGTGAAAAAAGCAGTTAACGTTGTAGCCGGTGGATTCATAGCTGTTTGTTGCACATTTTCAGCTGTGAAATAAACGTGTTATCCATTTTCTTGTTTTCAAAACAAAAACAAAAAATATTAACGAAATATTTCAATTCAAACGCAGATCAATCGACACAGCTCAATTTCGTTACCAATTGCACTGAAAAATAAGAACAGTTAAAAAAAATGAAAAACAATGAAAAATGAAACAAATAAGCTATACCCACGAAATAAACGGTATGGAAGACAACACTGCTCAATTCCAACGTAATGTCACTGCTCAATTCCAACGCAAAAAAAAAAAAAACTGTTTTTTCCTGTTACAGGTGAGTCATGTATAAAGTAGGTATATAAAAACACTCGCCTATTCCAATGCAATGCTGTGTCAAAATTTCAAAGCAATTGGTAAAGAGGTTTCGAAGAGTTCCCCTCACATGAAAAACACCCTAAATACACAGCTTTTAAAAAAAACATGTTTTTTCCCGTCACAGACGTGACGTCTACATAACATGAATATAAAAACCCGCTCTAATGCGAATGGAACGTTGTGTGAAAATTTCAAGGCAATCGGTGAAGAACTTTCGGAGATTAGCGATTTTGAACAATCAAATATTTCCATTTTAATTTTTATAGATTATCTAAATTTACACCTAATTTACCCTTACTTATGACATATTACCCTATTCTATAATATTTTAGAAATGTAGAGGGGTCTTATCTTTAATATATAGTATAATTTCCAGGTAATTGGCAGTGGGTGAGGGGGGGGGGGAGGGTAATAAAGCCCTTAATTATGGGTTAGGTTAATGAAAATGGGATTATTTAATTATAGATATAGGGGCTCTAATCACTTTCCTAAGTAAGTAATTATCAAAAGAAGGCACCAAACCGGGAAGGCTATGTAGCACCATCAAATGTGCAGAATAATCAGAGGGCGCTAAATATCACCAAGGATGCCAATACGAGAACAAAAACGCATAACGCGAACGATATCAAAAGTATCCAATTCACCAAGAATTCTATTGAGGGACAGGTGACCGCGAGGGGTGGTCGGAAAGCAAGACATATGCTCGTCCTGGAAGTCAGGACATTCAAGAAGGACATGCACGACCGTAAGAGGGACAATGCAATTAGGACAATAAGGAGCAGGGCGGAGCTCCATCAAGTGACCATGGGTTAAGCGAGTATGGCCAATATGCAACCTTGCCAGAGCTGTTTCCCATCTCCAGTTACGATGGTAGGAGGACGGCCACGTCCACGAAGAGTACATAGTTTGTTAAGAGTAACAGACGACCAAGAAGCCTGCCAACGGGTAAGGATGGAGGAATGGATAACCAGGTTAAAGTCGGAATATGGAATACCTTTACGAGAGATGGGACAAGAGCGGACAGCTTCCTTGGCGGCAGCATCCGCACGCTCATTTAAAGACACACCAATATGGCTGGGAACCCAACAAAACTCAACCGACTTAAATTTACTGTGAACAAGAAACAGCCAATGCTGGATCTTGACCACTACTGGATAAACCGGATTAAAGGACCCAAGAGCCATGAGGGTACTACGAGAGTCAACAACAACGACAAAGGAAGACTGACAACGAGAAAGCAGGAGACAAAGAGCATAGAGAATAGCATAAAGCTCCTCTGTGAAGATGCTAGTCTCCGGAGGTAAGCGACACATATAAGTGCGATCAGGAAAAACAACAGAGTAGCCAACACCATCCACAAAATTAGACCCGTCGGTGAAGACAGAAACGGAGCGGGAGTGAGAAAAAAAGTGCTCAAGGAAAAGGCGTTTTAGAACCGTAAGAGGGGTAAAAGCTTTAGTGATGCGGGTCAAGGATGTACAAAACTGCGGAAGGGGGACTCTCCATGGGGGAAAAGAAGGAACAACACGATGAGAAACATTAGAAATACGAATGGAAAGAGAATCCTGTAAGCGAGATAACCGGACAGAAAGAGGGAGGTGATGAAGAGGAACAGGAACCGCAGGAGGGGTAAAAGTTAAAGCACGACAGAGGCGAGAGGAAGGATGTTGTTACTAAGGACCGCGCAAGATAGCGAAGACAGTAGCGATCACAACGGTCTTGGAGAGACAGGAAGCCAGTGTCAACATACAAGCTAAGGACGGGAGTCGAACGAAAGGCACCAGAACTGAGGCGCAACCCAGTATGATGCAAAGCATCAAGACGGCGAAGAGTAGAAGGAGAAGCAGACGAGTAAGAAGGGCAACCATAATCAAGCTTAGACAGGACGAGAGAGGAATGTAAAGCAAGGAGAGTACGCCTATCCGCTCCCCAAGAAGTATGTGACAATACCCGAAGGAGGGTAAGGGCCTTAGAGCACTCAACACGGAGGTAAGAGATATGGGGAGACCAAGACAAACGAGTGTCAAGGAATAACCCCAAAAGCTTCGCGGAATCTTTGTACTCAAGGGGATGACCATAAACTGTCAAAGAGGGACAAAGAACAACCCATTTCCGAGTAAAAGTCATGGCACAAGTCTTAGTAGTAGAGAACTTGAAGCCATGATCGGTGGCTCAAGACGACACGGCATAAATCGCAAGTTGAAGCCGGCGTTGAAGGAGAGGCAAATCATCACCCTGACAGCAAAGGGTAAGAGCATCGACATAGAGAGCAGAGAAGACGCCTGAAAGTAGAGAGGAAAGAAGACCATTGAGGGCAACTAGAAAAAGAGTAGTGCTCTGAACGCTACCCTGGGGCACACCTTCGTATTGCTGAAAAGAGGCAGAGAGAGCGGTACCAAGCCGCACCCGAAAGGAACGACGAGAAAGGAAACTGCGGAGAAAGAGAGGGAGATGACCACGAAGGCCAAAAGAATAAAGCTGAGATAGAATATGATATCGCCAAGTGGTGTCGTAAGCCTTTTCCAGGTCAAAAAGGACGG